TATATATATATATCCATCTCTCTATCTCTCCCTCTCCCCCTTTCTCTCATCCTCCCTCCCCCTTTCTCTCGTTCTCCCTGTAGCGAATGAACGCTGCCAGTGCTCAAAGCATGCTACCACTAATGAGCTTATGAGCTATTTCGTTCACCTATTCCCATCCTGCGCGGTCTCGTTTCTCACTAGCAGCTACACTGTTATTACCAACACGTCCACGAAAGGCTCACACAGAGAACATGACCGTAGTACCATTGTGTAATGATGATAAAATGCGCAGCTGTGCAGCTAACTTGAACCGCGCGTTTCAAAACAATCTTCAGAAATCTGGATATTATATTCTCACCAGGAATCCGCGGACGTATGTGGGGTCAATACAATAGCATGTTTTCCTTGGTTTAGTTGTTTCTTTCGGTTTGGAAGCAATTCATCTTTTTAATGTGCTTACTCACTGTGTTGAAACAACGGCGTGTTTGCATTGCAGTGCACAATACCTCAACGGGTGCCGATAAATCTAATGTGGTGCTTAAAGTGTTAAATTTGTGTAGTAGCTCTGAAGTATGTCTTTCTCTACCTAGCGAGTGTACCCCTGTGGGTGACGTTGTATGGGATTACATATGACAGGTTTGGTGAAAACGAAAGGAAAACACATTATAAACATTAAACGAAATAAATTGTGGCTAAAGATTGTGAAATGTGCAGATGCCAGTAAAACGTTTATAGAGTCTTGTTCATATTGAAATTTTGTCTCGAGCCAGTGCTAGGCATTTAATGTTGCCTGTGCGTGTATTTTCATGCTTTCGTATCTTTACAAGTCTATGTCTCTGCTCGTGTATATTGGTATATTGTTGCTTTTGAATGTAGGTGCCCATGTGTGATTTTTCGGTTGGGGGAGTCGTTTTGTGTCATGCTGAGTATGTGTGTATGTATGTGTGTTTATGTGCGTGTGTGTATGTGTATGTGTGAGAGTGTGTATGCGTGTGCAAGAGAGAGCGTGAAAGAGGAGGAGAGAGAGAGAGAGAGAGAGAGAGAGAGAGAGAGCGAGAGAGAGAGAGAGAGAGAAAGAGAGAGAGAGA